GAAGATTTTTCTTGAAATAGGCATTTTGGGTCGAGATGCTGGGGGGGAATTTTCCAAGTCAGCTCTGCGCTATCAGCGTGAGATGGGAAGCGTGAGTTTCCCTTTCCCCGCTGTGTTTCAGGGCTCGCCGCCCAGCCCGGGGCTGGACCCTGCCCGGGCAGACTGGGGCCCGTTCCTCCCCTGCCGCGAGTCTGGGGGCGCTGGACAGAAGCAGCCTGGAGGAAGGAAGGAGGATGCTCGGCGCCTTGGCGGAGGTGGCCAGAGGGGACGAGCGAGGCGGGAGCGGGCTGGACCGAGGAGCCCTGGAGCGCGGATGCGAGAGGCTCAGCACGCGGCGGGGCTGCCATGTTTATCCCAATTACAGCAAGCGCTGGCTTGAGGTGGATGAAACCAGCAAGGGAGCGATGCCGAGCCGACAAAGCTGCCGCAGCTCCTGTCCCTCCTCCCGCCCCGCTGCAACGCCCCAGCCTGTCCAGTCCTCCGTCCTTCTTGGCGTCCGCGACATCTCGCAACCGTGGCTTCTGTTATCGAATCTACGGACTTTGCAAAATAATCCGTGTATTTCGGACCATGCTTCCAGGTGCTGCTTCATCAGTTTTGGTGAAGTTGTCCTTCTGAGATAAGGCTGGGTATAGTGATGGCGAACGTAGCTCCTGTAGTGCCGCCTGACTGAGCACGCGCTATCTGAGCTCTCTCTTCCGCTGCCCTCTCGGATCGCCAGGAGAAACCAAGCTCATTCCCAGATCTCCTGACTTAGCAAAGCTAGTAAAAGAGGGAGATTCTTGCAGTTTTTATTGTGGTGGAAGCTTTACTCTGGATTATGCTTTAGGATGGACTTCTTAGCCAGAAAACAGTTGAAGAGCAGAGACTAGTTCTTGCGGTAAAATTAAGAAAGCAAAATGTAACAGATTCAGAGGATGAAATTCTGACTTCTCCTTAGTCTACAGGGAAGGAATGACTTCAACTCAGCCCAGGTTTCCCCTGAAAAGCGTAATGTGGGCTGCCCAGGGAGCATCCGTGGGCGGCTAACGGGGTTAGGCTGCCAAGAGCGAGCAGCACAGGCAGAGGGAGGACGGCGAAACAGAAACTGCTCAGCTAGAGGTAAATCTCCTGGCATTGCAGCCATGCTTCCCAAGGCAAAGAGATAAGTAATTAAGCTGATCAGAGGTACAGTCTGCCAGCAAACGAGACCAAACAATGAGGCTAAACTGCAGGTTCACTTAAAATTACTCATGCAGCTTGCAGGTCATTTCCTCTTTGATTTCATTGCTCTGCACTGATTTCAGCTGTTTGGCGCTTGCTGAGGGCTATAAACTGTTCATTGGCTACCAGGAAGCTCTGCTTGGGTCTGTGAGAGACTGGGAGAGAAAGTGGCTTTCTTTTGCAGGTGGGGAAAGGGAGTCATTGCTGTACAGCTGGAGGAACATGCTCCAGGTGTTGGGCTGCTGGGCTCCGATAAAACTGCTGATAGAGCTTATCTGTAATGGCCAGGTCCTCAAGAGGCATAAAGTGGTATAAAGCCATTGGAGCTGTGCCAGTTTGCCCGGGTGGAGAGCTGCCTTTGCTTCTCTCTGCGAGTGGCTGTCTTTCGCTAGTGATCTGTGTTGTCTGGGAAGGCTGCATTACACTGGGAAATATGATGCATTAGGAAAATTACCTACCTCCTGAGTGCTGTTAAACCTGCAGGGCCAAGTGCCTCTCTGGTGTAACACCAGTGCCCACAGCAGGAAAGGCAAAATCATGTTTATGAGGTTCTCCTTCCCCTGGCCAGACCCTTCCTCAGCAACAGCTGTTCATTGCTCTCCTTCACCACTCAGAAAAGGAGGAAAAAAGTATTGCTGCAGATGAGAGTGGCCAGAGGATGTTCTCCTTGTCGTGAACCCTTTTCCTGCAGCAGGGACGTGCTGGGAATCCCCTTCCCGAGGTAAACAGGCTGCAGCCTTGGAGCTGGCGGCGTGTTGGGGGCTTCCTCTCTTCACTGGGGAAATTCTTCCCACTCCAGGGGAGATCTCTCTAAGCAGTAGCACAAACCCGGCACAGCTTCGGTTCCTGGCAGACCTGCCTGATCCTGGCGGAGCAGGTCTGGGTGTCCGTGGTCTGCACGACTCCCCAGTAGCTCAGCTTGGATTGGCGTCAGTGCTCCTTCTACGCGAATGCCAGGGCAGAAGGCTGAGCGTGTCCTTGCGACACAGTAACACGAGCTCTCCATCCGCATGGGGCTGATACAGCACTGAGACACCCATGGAAAGGCTTATGCTGACTTTCATGGGCTTTTTTCCAAGGTTTTGGCATATTTAAGAGGAGAGTGAATCACCCTGGTTTTGCCTTGAGCTCGCTGCTCTCTTCTTCCAGGCCTTACCTGGCTCTATGTGCATGCGTGTGTGTGTGTGCCGTTGCGCTGTGTCGAACCACAATACCAGTCTCATAATTTATAAATTATCTGATCCAGACAACATGGGTCAAGGTATCGCCTATTTTTGCACTGCTGATCAGCTTCCAAAGCTTGAGACAAATGGGTGGCCTGGCTGTGGTCTGTCCGCAGGATGGTTTGTACTGGACCTGGGTGCAGCTTCTTAGCCTTGAGCAAACCTGGGGGACCCCCGTCCCGCTTGTTTATTCTTCCCCTTTTCTGGTTGTTGTTGCTAAGACTGCTCATCTGACCTGGCAGAGCTGTCTCTGCTGTCGGAGGAATTAATGGGGAGATATAATTAGCCCTGTCAGGCACAGACAGTCAAAAAGCAATTGGATGGGTGCAGATGGCTCGTGGAAACAGGGTCTGCTCCTCCCGCTTGGGGCCGTCTGTTGATCTGGAAGGAGGGAACCGGAGACTCAAGCGTGTTTCTCTTAAATAAACTTTTCAAAGATTCATTTCTTTCCACTCTAATCAGAAGCACCAGATTACTCTAAAGGGGGTTGTAAATAGAAGGATCTCAACGAGATATTAACCGTTGCCTCCAGGTCTAGATACGGATTCATCCTCTTCCTAAATACAGGCTCCTAACTGGGCTCTCTGAATACGGTGGGTTTCAAAAGGGAGGTTGCCCTAGTAACTGGGCATGGATTAGCCCTGGTTTTGTAAAAGAGCTGAAGCAATGGCATGACAAGCATGAGCTGCTGCCCCTGGGGTGGCACGGCACTACCCCCTGCCGTGCCTTGGGCACCTGCGGGCATGCTGCTCCCGGGGAGGCAGGTCGGAGTCCCGCTGCCGCATCGGGGTGCCCCACGACCTCCTGGGCTCGTGGTCGGAGCGGTGTCAAGCCGGTCAGTGCCTGTGCGCGCTCAGGGCTGGGGGGTCGCCAGCGAGACTGAGAACTATCTCTCTGCTAAGCACTGCTCAAGCAGCGCCGAGGATCTGGCTCCATGCTTTCAGCTCGATGATTGAGACGATCTGGCAGCAGGAAAACTCTCTCTTCCTGGGGCTGCCTTCCAAACACAGCCTGGCCGTGGCTTATTGATACCTTCAGCAGTGGGAAGAAAGAAGCGCCAGTTTTGCTGTGAGTGAATAGAGAAGGATCCGTGCGCCCTTGAGCGGGGCACTGGGAGCCGGGAGCTCCTTGCAGAGCCGTGTGGGGACCCTTTACAGCTGCAGCCCAACTGTGTCGGCCAGGGCAGGCAGGGAGGAGGCGCAGAGCAGGAGATATGGGGTGGGGGGATGTGATGGAGGGGGCTGCAAGGGGACAGCCTGGCTGTGCGGAAACCGCTCCTGGCTTTGCTTTCACGGAGGGGTGGCTGGTGCTCCCTGGAGCC